AATACGTCATTTTTTACCCTTTTACGTAATTTTTACTGCATATTTCACTGATTTCATCGATTTTAATGGTACTTGCTTCAAACAATATTAACGAGGTGCAAAAAATGTTCACCACAAAATTCCTGAGTAGCCTATTCGATTTCTTCGCTCAATGTCACCCGTTTTCAGTTCTATGTAATCTTAAGTTCCTGTAACGTTTATCGGCGCTTATTATTTGTGAGATCCGCTGATTTCACGATAAATGAAGGCAGAGAATTTCTTTTAAAGAACAGTCCAAACCCAAAGTTTGCAAGCTGAGTTTACTTGAAGAAAAGGAAGAAGCCTCGATTACATCAGTAACATATCCAACAACTTGAGTTGTTTATCTGCAGTGGTTTTGATCACATTTTTTACATTTTTCTTTGCTTTTAGAGCATTTTTGAAGCTCTTTAAGTGTATTGCCGTTGAAACGGAGAGGCCAGTCTGGTAGGATTCAGTGAAAATTAGAGTTGTCAATTTTCACTGTTACTTTGCCCATTAAGTCATAAAAGTCATTTTCAAAGTCAAAGTGTGTAGGTGCGTTAGCGTCGCCATCGTCCACCAATTTTTTCAATTTCTCTGTAGTCGCTCCAATTTTTTTGTAAGCGCGCTTAATGAGCAAGCAAAATCTAACATGATTGTTTGTCTTCAATTTCTAGATTTATTATCTTATTAATATCATCCCGGGCTCTGATTCGCCTGAAAATTGTATCTCAAGTCGCAAGATGTTTGCGAAAAGTATTCTTCGGCGGCATTTTGAAGTTTTGCCAGAAATTATTGAGAGCTAGTCTTGAGGTGTAAATTTCAAGTGCATATTACGCAAAAACTACTCGTTTTCTCAAAAACTTGTACCTGACCTTTTTTAATGAGCTAATTATGAACAACATACTTTGTCTGAGGAAAACATTTCTATCTTCAATTTTGTAAGGTTCAAATATTTTTTTGCAATTTTCGAAAAATCGGGGATATTAATGAGATATGAACCCCGCTGGTAAACGTCGTTTTTAATATTCAAACAACAAAATTTAATAAAAACATTTGGAGCCATTTTTTTATTTTGAAAATGTCGCGGGGGCTTCTTGTAAAGTACCTCCCAAAATTCAGGGGTTGCGATATCAGTCAGGACAATTGGGTAATATGGGTTTTGGAGAAAATAAGCAGAACGGTTTATGCGCTAGCGATCTCCACGGATAGATAGACGGACAGGACGTTTTGCTGCCAATCGATTTTTTAGTATGAAGGACGAAAAAAGTATGGATTTTGACAACAGCACGCGTTAGAGATATTTTTTCTATATTTTGCAACTAGATTAATCCCCTTTTTTGTTACCAGGACCCGGCAATAAGAGTTTTTGTGTCGAAAATTCGCCGTTTTCCGGCGCACGATTACAACTCTTTCTCTTCTTACGTTAGTAAGAGCAAGAAAGTAAAAATGGTCGGGTTTGCGAGACGCGTGGAGATTAGATCTTTAAATTATTATGTGATTGGGGTGTTTTGTAAGTGATCCGACGATCGCACGAGGACATGGCCGTGAAGAGACTTGTGAGACGGAAGTGGTCGAAGGGGCGCGAGAGCCAGGATGGAAGGAGAGCTGTTGTGAGGCTGGCCTTACATTAGCAATACGTTTCCACAATGTCTTTCAGCAATTTGTTTGCGCTTCTTGCAGTCATCTTTACACTAGCCAGAGCAAGGAGAGGCGCATTATATTGTCAGAAAGATCTGAGCAAGATCTTTCCAGTAAGATATTGCCGATCGCTTTGCATTAGGATCCATTGTTGCCGTGTTTGGCGACGGCGCGCAAGGAAAATGGCACATGAAATTAAGAGAGGTTATACCTCACTCACTTCCCGACATGACTAGTGGAAGGCAGGAGATGCGAGTTGCGGTCGCACTCATTGTGCTAAATGAGGAGATGAAGTAACGCCGACGATTTGTGAGGATATGTAAGTGAATTTTAAGAAGAAAGGGAAAGAGGGCTTGTGCGAATTTGGTAGAAGTGTCTAAATATTTTTCTAAAACAAAATGATTTCGTGGATTTCGGTACCCGTAGGAGCAAAGTAATTTTCTTTTAATAAAAAGTGCAATTACTAATGTGGTAAAAAGTTTTAAAATATCCATTTTCTAATACTGATGTATTATAGAGTAATCTTAAAATTGATTTAGATTAGATTAATATCTTAATAATTTTTAACGTAAAAATGTAATAATCAGGGGGCATCTATAGCTGAACCAAAATTTGAACCTTTGATAATCGACCATAAAGGGTATATTTATTACTTCTTTTATTGTCGTAAACCTTTTTCATACACCCATTTTACGAAAAAATGCATATTAAAATGGAAATATTACGTTTATGTACTACCGTACATACTTCCTGCGTATGTGTCAGTGGTCAATATTGGTTTCTTCCAGCAATATCTTGCTCATACTTCATTCCAATTCTAGTCCCAGAAACAGCCGCCAATATCTTTCCGAAGGTGGAAACACACGGGTTTACATTACGACCGGAATATCTAGCAAGAAATATTGCCAACATCAGAAATATTTATTGCCGTTATTAGCATTGGTAACTTTGGCAACTTTGGCAACATTCGCAACTTTGCTTGCAAAATAATATAGCTCGCCATTTTCTTGCAAGTGTAAAGTCATCTTGAGACTGCCGTGGGTGGAGAGGCGTGGGCGAAACCCGAGGCAAGACAGGCAGCGGAGGGAGCGCGAGCACATGCGGGTTGTGTGAGTGTCGGATGTGGGAAGACGGGCGAGGGAGGCTGGGACGGCAGTAGTGACAAGGTGCTGTTGGACTGGCGTGGGCAGGTAGCCGAGAGGTGGTAGGTGGGAGTAAAGTGATGAATGTGGTGGGCGTAAGATGACTGTGTTCAAACGGCTGTGTGAGGCCATATAGATCGAGAGATGAGGTTGGATGGATGTGGGGGGGGGGCGTGAGCGGGCCCGGATGTACGCTTGGGGGAGTATAGCTGTGAGTGCACGTGGGCCGACGGATGTGGGTGGCCGCGTAGGTGGGTGGACGGGCGTGGAAGAACAAGTGTGCGCGGATGCGTTAAGGCGGTCGGGTGAGGGGCAAAAGAGAGCAAGCGGGCATGGGCGGGCGTGGGCGGACGCGAGTGTGTGTGGACGGGCGCGGGTATGCGTGGGCGGGACCGAACGTGCGTACGCTTGCATGGGCGTGTGTGTGGAGGGGCGTATGCGTGGGCGGGCGTTCGCGAGCGTGAGTGGAAGAGCGTGCGTGGGCGGCCGCGAGCGTGTATGGACGGCCGTTGATGGTCGTGGATGGGAATAGCGGCCGCGTGTGGGCGAGCATGTGCGGACGTGAGGGGCCGTGGACCGGGTGTGGGCTTGCATGGGCGGGCGTGGGCTGGAGCGAGCGTGCGTGGGAGGGCATGGATGGACGGACATGGGTGGGCTTGGGCGAGAATGGACAGGCGCGGCCCGGGTTTGAGCGGGCATGATCGGGCATGAGCGGGCGCTGGCGGGCACGGGCGGAAGAGGGCGGTGTGTGCATTCATAGGCGTTTGTGGGCGGTTGTGGGTGGTTGTAGGCGATTGTGGGCGGTAGTGGGCGGTTGTGAGTGGTTGTGAGCGGTTGTGGGTGGTTGTGGGCGAGTGTGGGCGTCGGCGAGCGGGAGGGCGCTCCGAGGGCAGCGACAAGAGCTGCGAGACTCCTCCTCTGCCGCCGCGTAATTGGGCTCGCCACGCTTAATTAGCCGCGCAAACGCCCGCGCACCTGCCTCCCCTCCCCCCCCGTCCGGAGGCGCAAGGGGCCCCGGCGGATGACCCGCGCGGAGAAGCCCCCGGCAGGCGAAGGCTCCTGTGTTTCAGAAGGAGCGTTTTGTTGTTCATTAACTTGGAGAGTCTGCCGTCTGATAAGCATCGGTTTGATATTGCTCGTGGAGGAGGCAAAGTCAATCGGTGAGGAAATTTCTCTAATCAACAGGTTTCGTTGAGAAGGCTGAATCGTAAGGAAGAGAAACGAAATTTGGAGATATTGTACGCGGCAAAAGATAAGAAGAGCGAATCTAGGTCTCTTTCCTACTATTGTTCAAATTAATTATGGTATTTTCAAATATGCTGTACTGTTTTGTCCAATGTTTGCCGTACTGAATGACCAAGAATGCGAGAATACTTTGTATCATATCTGATCCGTTTCTTTTATATGTATTTAATATCATAGTGCTCTTGAATTTGTTGTAAAACAAAACGCAAACTCAGTTTTGAAGAATTTCCTAGTAGTATTTATAAAAAGGGGCAATTTGTTACATATTTACGTATTAATCTTGCTCAATTACTTCGGAGCAAAATTTAGTGAAATTGGACTATTATCTAAAGATTGCTGTCTAAAGAGTTGTGTTGCAAATTGCTAATAGAAGTTCAAAATATTTAGTAAAGACATTTAGTTGATAGTTAAAGACAGAAGGTATTAATTCATTTTTGTGAACAAATTCTGTTATTTATTCATAATTTAGTTCAGTTCCAAAAGTTCCAACTACATTCCAGCCTAGAATGAAACAAGGAATTGACAGTCCAGCGGTTTTCGAACACCTGTTCTTGTATTGTACAACACTAATCCCTGCACTCTCTTTGCTTTTTTGAATTATAAATGAATGTAGTTAACATTTATTTAATTATTAAATTTTTGGTTCTGCAAAATTGTCTCCTTTGGGACGATTTTTCTATTTCTCTTCTTTCCAGGATTAACCCCCGTATAAGAGCACATTGTTGCCAATCAATAAAGAATGGACAGATAATTCTATAATTTATTGATATAAGTGATAACCTATTCTGCACAAGTTTTCAACAAGTTTTGATGAATATTTAAGAAAGCGATGAACCACATTTATTTATTGATTTTAGTAAATAAAATTCTTGAGAATGATTGTGTAACCACAGTTCAAATAGAAAAAAATATACTCTCTTAGACAATAAAGTTGCTCCCGGAAGGACGTTTGGAAATGGAGTGCAATGAGGGATGGAGGAAAAGGGTATCGAGAATGGTAAATGACTTACAGTTCACGGTGCACAATCTGTATTGCACAGTGAAATAACCCAATGTTACTTTCAATAGGTCGTGGGACCCTCTGTTACGCGCACAGTCAGGGTTGCCAGATGCCTCGTACAAACAGACGCCGTTAGATAGATGTAAATCCGCCCAATAAAAAAAATCATAATTCCAAGTGATACATTTGAATTTGCATTAAAATAATTTTATTAGAATTTGTTTTGAGATAGTGGCACTATGAAATACTTGATTAGTTTTATCTTTGGGTATGTGAGCCTCTTAATACTACTAATAATGTAAAATCCTACGATTTTTGTAATAATAAGATATTTTAATATATACAAATTAGTATTGACTGTTCTTATGACTACAGCAGATGGTAGGAATACTTAAAAAGATAAAGAAGGGATAAAATAATTTCCTCACATAACCGTTTTCACTCTCCTTGCTCGTCTTAAATGTTCGCACTTGAAAAGATTACCATAGAAATGCTTGCATATGCATGCTTATTTCCTAAGGCTTACCGGAAAATATGCCAGCGAAACTGTACTTCCAAAAGATGGATAATTTTAAATAACGGTCTAAAATTTACTCCAAGTATTGTCAATGTAATATATTATATACTCATGTTGTGCACGACAAATGAGTATGACGTTCAGAGTACACTCTACACTAGTGGTCTAAAAAATAACATTACTCGCTTCTAAGAGTAAATTTTATCGAACTAACCAATGATGAACAAAAAATCGTGTACGAAGTGAAAAACTAAAAAAATCGAACTCACTGTCAACAGCATTGAGGTTGTATTTTAAAAATTTCGTCGTAATCTGATAACCCACCCAAATCCGCATACGTTTTGATGCATTACCGCTCGATGGGCGGTATTCCGCGAAGTGAATTTTTGTCCGGCGAGAAAGAGCCGATTTCCTGCTCAAAATTTGGAATTCCACCCAATCTGACAACCCCGCACACAGTGGGCCTGGTGTTGGCATCCTGCGACGCACCCTCCTAGGCCTCTCGAATGGGCGCACACAGTTCCCGAATATTGCGAAGGCGGTGTGTTCCTTAGGGAGTCCCATTGCACCCCTCAAATCTTCAGGGGGAGAGGGGAGAGGTCTGGAGATGCAGCGGGTCGTGGAATGGTGCAAGTGGCTTCCTAGCGACGGCTGCAGTGCGTTGTGCTGCTGGAACATTGCCCCAGCGAGTGAGACCTAGAACGGAAAACCAAAACTGGTTGCAGGACCTTCTCCTTATAGCAGAGTGCCCTAATGTACCGGCCGCCAGGATTTATAGGGGATTGCCGTAATACACCGTAACGCCAGGATTTCTATGTTGTTGGCGAATGCCAATAAACCATGTCATTTGACATTCGCCAGGATATCTCTGACTCCATCTCCAAGAGAATGATTCATCGTTGCAAACTGTTATGTAAAAAAAGAAGTAATTTCGTAAAAATAGGTTTATTTCGACCTCACACCAGTACAGAGTAACCGTTAACAAGCAAGTTCCACAATATTCCAGAAGATGTAGGAGGAATCAGGTTTGTCTCGGTATTCTGTCTGTGTCTGTCCTTAGGAAGGCATCTGAGCCTATCTTGGCTCTACACGTCGTTTTGGCTAGAGCGAATCATCATGCTATTGCAGCGCGTCTTCGTGAAGAGAGCGTCAAAAAGAAATTGTGCGTTACATCGTAACTTGATGTACGTGGGCATATACGTACTCTTTATATTAACACGTACTTGTACGTCCCTCAACGATCATTTTATGACCAAACATTACTGTAGAGAAACGAACAGAATAGAATTTTCAGAAAAAATGCCTCAAAACGGACGTCTCAAATCTAATCTTTCAATAACGTAATTAGCCAGATAATACTGACGCATTTCATGTCCCCTTCCTCGTCTTGGCGTGAGGGGAGCGACGCGCTATTTCAGAGCGTCGACGTGGCGCAATTTGGGAAGACAGTGGCCGGGCCCCGGCGCTCGCAGGACAGCCAGCGACTAATTAATGCACGTAGCCCGGTGACGCGCCGCAACCGGCGATTGTTGGCGCGCTAATTGAAGCGTCCGCCGCACCGCCGCGCCGCCATCGCCACCATCACGGCACAGAGGACGGCCCGCTATTTTAATGAATTTTGCGGCCGAGATGTGAGGCGAGGGGGGGGGGCGGGAGCCTCGTCAGCTAGAGTGAACGCCCTGCAATTTGCACTTCGGGCCAGGGGCTGCCGCGGCCATTACAGTGTCAGTGGGAGTGGTTGCGGATGTACCATGTACATTTTCGTAATTTTCCCACTTTATACATTTTCTTCGTAGGTGTTTATTATTTAAATGACTTTTCATTAAAATATCGGTAGCCTGATATTTACTTCTTTGTACGTCAATTTCTGTAAAATGAATATTCTTCTGCGTTCCTTTGCTTTGGATGACTTTTATAATCCCAGTTGTTAATTAAATATACGAATTAACGAATATTAGTATGGAAAGTTGGTATCTTCTACCCTACCAAGAAAACCACAACTAAATTTATTTATTTATGATACTGAAAAACAAAAAAATTAAAATTTAATTCTTTTTATATGAGAAGTAATCGGATATTGTTAGTGGTAATTAAAGTAAGTGCTATGTCGTTTGGGTTACAGAATTATCTACAAAAGGGTTCAAAACATTCGAACCTGTGATCGACTTAGGTGAGTCAGGGCATCAACTCTTGTCGTTGCAGTGCAGTATGACCGGCAGGTCCTAGAGTTCGGAAATTTGACAGCCAGCTAGAGAGCTTGATCGAGTTCAGACATGTCCGGAGAACTATAGCTGCAGGCTGCTCTGATCGGTAGTTCCGTGGTTTCTACAGTTAGTTGAATTCCGGAGCAGTACTCCAACAAACGGGACGAGCGCTCTGCGCGGTATTTCGTTCCTTGTCATAACTTGACCCACTTACTTACACACATGGTTATATGCACTACTCTACCACACATGCCGGAGCTTGTCTCGGCAGGGTGGTGCCCCATTGGTGGCATGTACCTTGTTGTAGAAAACCTTGCTTAAAGACGTGTAGGTCGGCGCCGATCTCATCACCCAGGGAGGGAAAATCACCACCTTCGACAGAAAACCAGTGGTGTTACAGCATGGCACAGACTATATGTTTTCTATTTTCTTTGGTCAGGGCTAGCTATTAAGACTTGCCACATGAGATATCTGTTCTATGTGCTTGTCATTTAGGACTGCTTTTTTTCTTGTAGAGTAAATACCTGTAGAGGCCAATGTTTTCAAAATTATTTTCAGGTTATAAGTTAGGCTCAACAATTGAATCTATGTAGTGTCATTTGTCTTCCCTGTCTATTATGATTACTTGATCATCAGCGAAAATTGATTGATTGTTAGTGTTTCCGGACGCGTCAACTACTGAGGTCATTATTCCCGTAAGTGCAGTGCATGGTTTGCTTGGGAGGTGGCGGTGATCTTCCTCAGCTGTATGGCGAGATCCAGCGCCGACCTACCGTCGGCTAGCGGGTTTTCCCTCGACTAGGTATCTCCCACTGCGAGACACCGCTCCAGCCAGGACAAGTTGTAAGCTCCCGATCGGTCTCCCGGAATGTGTGGAAGTGCAGTGCGTGTTACGGTAAGTGTGTGTAAGGGGAAAGGATAGGACAAGGAAGAGGGAGGAAAGATCGCGCGTGGTTCGTGGCCCATTTGTTAGGGTTCTGCTCCAGCATTCGCCTGGTGTTGATCGGAAAAACCACGTAAAAATACCGATCAGCGAAAAGTATTTGTAATAAATGGGTTTGCTTCGATGTTAATTCCTGATAATGTTCCGTCTCCCTTCCATTCTCTAAAAATATCATCTATACAGATGTTGAATAGCATTGGTGACATACTACATTCTTGTTTCGCTCCATGATTTCTGGGTAACTCATATGTGAAAACTTTATCAGCGTCAGTTCTAATTCTAGTGTTTTTACAGACTTTTTGGGACCTTTATCTAATGTTCAGGAAATCATTTTTCTTTTTATACTATAGCTAATCAAGAAATTCTACGAAATGCTTTAACAAAGTCCACAAAAACCACGTGCATTTCCAAATTGAATTTTCTTCTCTTTTGTATTATCTGTTTCAATACAAAAAATCGTCTCTGCATGATCTTCCCTTGCGGAAACCTGCGTGTTCCTTGTATCAGAGACATTTTGAAGCTTTCTTTAACTATTTTTGGCTATTCTTTCAACATTCCCGAATAAAATACCTTTCTTATATTAATGTGCGCGACAACCATCTATTCAACTGCTCATAATGATTCAAAATTACCCTTCAGCTCCAAGATATGAGGCGTGACCTTGTGTAGAAATGTACCTTGTTGTAGAAAACCTTGTTGAAGACGTGTAGGTCTGCGCCGGATCTCATAACCCAGAGAGGGAAAATCACCACCTTCGACAGAAAACCAGTTGTGCTACAAAATGTCACATACTATTTGTTTTCTGTTTTCTTTGGTCTGAGCTAGTTATTCAGACTTGCTACATACTCTTGCAAGCTGCCATCTACTCCTCAAAGCTCAAAGTACTTTTTCTGAAATTTTCTTAATTTTTCGGTTTCCTAATAAAATAGTGGAAATATTATTTTATAAATATTGAAAAACAGTAAAACCTCGTACTAAGTTGCATTTTTTTGGAAAAATTTGGAGACTTTACTGAAGCACGAGTGTAAATTCGAAAATTGAAGCTCTTTTTCTCAGAAAATGTTTGCGTTTTCGAAAAACTTCATTTGAAGAACTTTAACTCAACAATGCAATAGTGTTTACATCGTTGGAAATGTCTATATTAACGATGTAATAGATATTTGAATAAAATAATTTTTGTGTAATCTTAAAAACAATACCAAAATGAACTTTATTTCATATTCAACAGTTAATTTAGCACCAGCCGTTAAACACTTTTTAAGAAACAAATTGTAGCCATTTTTGAGAAACGGCGTTTGAGTGCGTCTGAAAAGGCGGAACATTGAGCTTCCTT